GAAGCTTTATTCTGATCGATTCACCCGATTCCGATCCGGATCGCCGATTCGTAGATCCGGATCGCCGATTCACCGATCCGGATCGGTTTTTAAAAAGCCCGATCCGGATCACCGATCCGGTTTTTAAACCATTGGTTTGAACTAAAAATGGTTAAAAATAAGTAAAGTTAATTAGTGAATTACTAGATGTATTTTAAATCTTTGATTTTATTGAAATAATAATAATAATAATAATAAAATTGGAGGATATTTCCTTCTTTTTTTTTAACCTGAAATTTTAAGAACTACTTAAGAATTATTAAATAATTATTCTAAAAAAGAAATATGAAATTTGAGTTTCCTCACACTCAACTCACAATTTTGCCGATCATAAGGGAATCAATCAACCCTAATTTCTAGAAAACCACCCCTAAACCAGAGGGTCAGCGAGTAAAACTTGATTGGCACCTCTTGTTTCTCAAACAAATCCCAATATTGCAGACTCCTTCATGCCAAAAATGAAGTAAATGACATTCACCTATTGTTTCTCAAACAAATCCATGGAGTTGCTACAGAAAAAGAACAATAAAAGACGAAAAGAAAATGAAGAAAAGGAAAAAATGGGGTCATTGAAACCTACCTGAAAGAGAGCTCAAATGGAAAGAAAAAATCCACCCTTCCACTCCATTTTACACCGTTAGGGTTTTATCTCTCTCTCCTTCGGTGGCTGTGGTTTTTTTTAGCTGATAGATTTATATCTGCCTCTCTGGTTTTGATGCGGCTGTGTTGATATGAAGTGGAAAACCGTAGCTCAACGGAGCCATTGGGCTTTCACGTGCGAGAGAGAGACAGGCCCCATAAACAAAACGTTGTTTTGTCTGACAAATTTTTTCGCGACTTTGTTTAATTGCATTTTGATCTGCTTTTGTGGGTACACAAAGCCCCGTTATGTGGCTACAAAATTGCCAAACATGTTTGTTTGGGGAGATAACATGGTTATACAAAACCATATTTTGTTTACCCAGGACTTTTTTGGGGTAAACAAAACCATATTTTGGATCATAACATTTATTTTTTGACAAAAGTTCCAATCTTTATTGATAATAATTACTCAAAGGATATTACATCATTGGAAAACTATCAGAGAAAGTAAAAGAGCCCCTCCTTTTGCAAGAGAGTCAGCAACAGCATTGGCTTCACGATAAACATGAGCAAAAGAGACAAAAAAAGGAGAGGATCCATGATTTCCAACGCGAGAGGCCGAAGTGACTATGGTGTTCGACTCCTTTTTACACCAACTAATAACATTTAGAGAGTCTCCTTCACAAATGCAATAGTGAACCAAATTTTTTAAGATAATGAGTTTAAGTCCTTGCAATAAAGAAGCTAGCTCCGCATGATTCGCCGTAGCAGAACCAATGGGGCTTGCATAAGACAAGACAATATCACCCAAACTGTTCCGCTCGACACCACCTATACCAACCAAACCAGGATTACCAAAAGAACTGCCATCAAAATTAAGTTTGAAGCGGCCCATCTGTGGTGGAGTCCAGAAACAACGATGACGCATCTTAACTTTCCTCAAAATAAACAAGTTTTGCAAATTAACCATAACATCCGCTTGAGAAAGGCCCCAGCCATCCTTAGTAACCGGAAACCACTGCCAAATGGTGATCTTAATGTTA